TCGCGGCGGGCCGGTGCCGGCGCAGTGGGGGTGGCCATACTCCTAGTAGCCTGGCTTGAGATATGACCCTAATACCCTAAACTGTGCGAGGTGAGGCTTAAGGACTCCATTCCCCCTGAGACTCCCAAACCCAGAAACCCAAGAATAGACCTGGAATTGGTGCCAGCGCTAGGAAGGTGAGATGGGGTTGGCTTACTGGACGAAGACCTGAGAGGTTTATAGGCCGGGTTTCAGGGTCTCACATGGAGGAGCCTGAACCCCAAACCTAAACCCCACTCGCATATGAACCCGAAGCCCTGGACCCGAGGGAGGGAGTTCAAGGTCCCTGCATCTCCCAGCCCCGAGTTTCACGTCGTTTTGTGCTCGGAACAACAGTGATAAGTATTCTTGCTTGCAAGCTGATGCGCGCTGGCGAGCCTTCCGAAGCCCAGTATGCAAGAGCTAGCCGGCTCACCAAGCCCGAAACACTGAAGCCTCAAGCCGAAATCGAATCCCCATGCCCTGATGCACCAGGTCGCCAGCACCTGGTCTCAAGCCTTCGTCACACTCCCGCGTCATTTCTGGACACAGTGCCCCAGGCACAGGGCGGCATCCCGGCCCAAAGGGTTGGGTTTGACATCTTTGATTCGAGAAGGCAACCTTTTTCAGGTCTTTCGGGTATGTTGAGCACTACATTCATTACATGTTCCCTGATGATGCAATAAACATAACCGCCAAAAGCTAGTGTCTGCTTGAGTTTCCCTAGGAAATTAAATAGATCGGACAGAATGATAATGAACTAGGCAAGTCGTACACGCCAGTCGAGGATGGAGGGCTTGTGAACCCTGAAGATTCACGGTTTTGGGGACGGTTTGGGGGACTCAACAACTCCAAGTAGCTGAATAGGTGACTTTTAACCTTTTGGGGTTTAGGTAATCCTGCCATAGCTGACGAGGTTGACCTCTTTTGGGATAAGTGCTCTCAGCCCCTAAGAGCTAGATAAGGAAGCTTTGACTGACCGAAGGCGAGGGATCGCAGGCCAGCCATCTTAGCAGTTGAGTAGCTTCGAGTATCACCTTTCGGGCATGAATAGAGACTGCTGAAACTCAAATCCCAGCTAAGACTCGTACTGCCCTTAGACCCAGTATTGGCCCTTGCCTGAATGCAAATCGTCGTGTTGAGGCTGATACCAAAAAAGATATTTGTAGGTAATATTGGTGCCAGTATACAGACTGATATACATACTCACAGTAGCATACATAATAAGAACAACAAGTTTTCATACCATGGTTAATTACAGATATTCGCATGGATGTCAGCATGTATAGTGGCATGGCCGTGATCCGTCTTATTAAAATCAAGATGTAGGTAGTCAGAGGATTGCTGTGAGCACTGTGAGCACTTGGAGAAGTGAAGTTGGAAATGCTTGCGTGAGTAGACTGACCGTTAATGCGATAGGGCTTAGCGAACCTGCTGTAGTCCCTCAGTTTGCACGGTGAAACATACCGTGCCGTGCGCAGTTGCTCAGTCGACCCCCAAACCTCGCCTGCCTGCCGAGAGCGAGTGCCAAGAAAACTAAGATTTGCATTGATACGGCAACCCCTGGAAAACTCCTCTTAAACACGCCATAAGCGAGCAACAGCCAAGGAGCCCCACGCCCCCGGGACCCCTGAATCCTAAAGCCTCGCGCCCTAGAAACCCAAAGGCTCCATGTACCTTTAGAGTGGATACTTAGGCCTTAAAGGGGTCCCTATATAATAGGCACTTTAAGGCCTAAGTATCTACTATATGGGTACATGGAGCCTCTTTGGGAAAGGATCACCCAACTTGCTGCGGGGCGCAAGAGGCCGCGTTGGCGGAGAAGCAGCTGAAGCCTGGCGATGCCGCTGCTTGGCTTTCCTTACCTTAAGGACGAAATGAGGGTTTAAGGTTCATATACCATAAAGGGATTCATAGTATACAGGTATAATGCCCCTACTTTTCAGGGTGATTTGGTCCTTCAGGCAGAGCCGCAGCTCCAGCTACCTTCGAGGTAGGTTGCGGTCTGTAATTCCATAGCCATAGTAAAGGACCCAATATGCAGGTGACTGGCTTCTCGCATTTAGGTTGAGGTTGAGGGCCTAGTTCGAGGTTTACGTGTCGGCACCGTGGCAGCTCCTCGTGCCACGGAGGTTGGTCCCAACAGCCTAAACCGTGGCTTGTGAGTAATGCAGGGGCCTTAATACTTAGACTAAGGTTTGGGGTTATATTACACCCATACTTGCAATCAGGAACCCACCAACAAACCCCTGACCCGAAAACCTAAACCTTAACACAACCCTACTCTTAATTATTATGGTCCTTTCAGCAGCACAACCCGATATCCGAAACAGGGCCAGGGCCCTGGTGTTAAGGATGCAACCGGGGGTTCTTCATGAAAGTTGCCTAAACCTTGGGTACGGCCCCCACTCAGTAATAGTTGAATAATCTTCATAATATAGATATATTAGGACCTTAATAGTAGCCCGATTATGGACTCTTACTGTAAGGGGGCAGTACCTAACCTAAACCTCTAAACCCCTAAAACCCTTTGCTGGAGCTGGTTCAAGGCTTTTGGTTCCTGGTTTGAGGCCATGGTGCGCGCAATCAGCTCGAGGTTTCAGGCTTCAAAGTTCATGTCCTAGTAGTAGAGTAGGTAACCTTTAACTGTTTTGGAGTAGTATATTCCCTATATAGTCCCTATAGAACCAAGAATTTTAACCTTTAGTTCCCGATGATACCCGACAAGTAGGATGTCTGTGGATAGAGCTTCATGTGTTTTGGCGTTGAACCCCTCTGCACCTTCGACTGTAATGCTGAAAGACTAGAGTCCTGCGGTCCTCATAAACAGGGCTTATAGGGCTCGGGGTCAGGACTGATATGCTAGAGAGCAGTTGGGCGGGCCGGGAAAACGCTGAATCGTGGTGTCGTCGAAAAAGGTGCGCGTCTTGCATCCTGGACGCCAAGAGTGGTGTGAAGGCCGTGGATCTTTGGGTTCCTGCTTTAGGGCTGCATTGAGAGCTGCAAGTTCATAACTCCCAGACCCCAAATCCGTCGAGTTGAGGACCGCATCGCACAAAGGGCTTGGGTTGCCGTGCGCTGGTAGCTTTCGGCTTCAGGAGCATTAGGCCTCAGGTCCTGGCCCAGACCACAAAGGCCACCACATATGCAGAGGCCTTCCAGAGAAGTACGAGAGTGTCAACAGTGTCAACTGTGTTTGTGCTAGCAGTAGTATATACTAGTAGTAGTAGTAGTAGTAGTAGCAGTAGTAGTAGTAGTAGTAGTAGTAGCAGTTTTGGTAGAAGCAGCAGCAGCAGCACCAGCAGCAGCAGCAGCAGCAGCTGCAGCAGCAGCTGCAGCAGCAGCAGCAGCAGTCTAGTCGTCGTCGTACTCGTAGTAGCAGGTTTCCGAGGTTGTGGCAACATAGGAGGAGTGGGAGCAGGAGTAGGAGGGCTGTAGCAGCAGCACAGGAAAGCCTGATGCTTCGTGCTTACGAACGAGGCATCAGACTTTTGCTTCTCTCTACGAGCACACGAAGGCAACAGAATCTTGCCCAAAGGCTCCATGTACCTTTATAGTAGGTACTTAAGCCTCAAAGGGGTCCCTATGTAGGTACTTTAAGGCCTAAGTATCTACTATATGGGTACATGGAGCCTTTGGGTTCAACAGGCCTGGCACTGCCAATGTACAGCCCGAAGCACTGAATGCCGAAGTCCCGAGCCTGAGCCCCCAAGCCGAAGATCTCGTAGAGGACTCGATGTGGAGCCATAGGCTAGGACTCAGAAGATCGAAATCCAGGGGCCTAAAGAATTACCAATATTTTATTTTGGGGCTTCCTTAGTATACTTATATCATAATATACTGGGCCCCAGAGCCCCATTCTAATTATCAAGGCCCCTATATTACTCTCCTTGTTGTTTCAGAAGATCGCGCAGTGGGGCCATTCTGGGCACCGCCTGACCCTTAAAGGTAGGGGCCATATACCCACATACTATGAATCCCTATATAGTATATGAACCCTATAAACCCCCTTAGGGCCTCAGGGTTTATTTCGTCCTTAAGGTTCTGGGCACCGCCTGACAGGCGTCATCCAGGCGGTGAAAGCAGAGGGCCTCTACTCCGTAAAAGCGGCTCCTTGGCCTCAGAGAAGACCCAAACAGTCCAAAGCCCCCCATATAGCATATACTTCGGCCCTGAAGTACCGATATAGGCACTACTTTAAGTTTACAGCCCATATAATATATACATATGAGTACATGGACCCTTAGGAGATGCTTTGAAGTCATACATGAGACCTGGGACCGGACCTGTTTTGGGCTGGTTTTAGCTTTGGAAACTCCGACGCTGAACTTTCTCCAGCTGTAAGAGGATTGAGAATTCCTCAACAAAAAGGGGACCCATGTTTTCAGCTCATCAGAGGGCAGGGGTGTTTCGGCCTATGTGATGGATCTAGACCTGAGGTACTGAAGGGCCTGCCGCTTCTCAGAAAAAGTGTTTGCTTGATGCAGTGTTACGCGCTCAGAGAAACACTATAGGCATGCTGAATGGCTTGCATCATGCTCATTTCTCAGCTTTTTCGAGCGGTGTTTGCTTGGGGTCATGTTGGTCACGGTCCCAGGGTGCCTTCTAGCATCCACAGAGGTTTGCGACTTGCACTGCGCATTCAGAGATGACTGCCGTGTGCTTGCAGTCGTGTTTTGCTTTCAGCATTGGGGTCGACAGGTTTAAAAGAGCTTGTGAGGTTTGTGGCCTAGAGTGGGACAAGGAGGGCGAAAGAAGGAGAGGGAGAGAGAGAGAGAGAGAGACGCAGAGACAGCGCCTTTGCGCGTATGTGCGTGTGTTGCTGCTGGTGTGTGCATGTCGGCTTGCGTTCCCTTCATTGTTTGCGCTCGTTTCATTGTTTCAAAGTCTCCTAGTTCGTCCCTGCATGTTTGCGTTGCAGGTTTTCACAAGTTCTTTGATCTCCAAGAAATTCAGAGAGAAGTGGTTGCATTGATAAGGACATGCCGGACAGCGATTCCGAGTGGCTCACCGTGGACGAGGACGAACTCGAGCCCATGTTCGTCTACAAGGACCCAGACTCTGAGGTGGTTGGGAAGGAAAGCAGCAAGTATGCGGGGCTCGTACGAGACTAGATTTACATTACAATATGTATATATATATATATATATATCCACATGCATACATACATAAGTTGTATATGTACCTTTCTGTATTATACATCTACACACACACACACTCTCTCTCTCTCTGTCCCTGCGTGTTCCCTACATATGTATATATATATACATATGTATGTATACGATGTATATGACTAAATGTGCGTATAAATCCATAGTCAGTTGCTGTCGGCACAGGCACAAACATGGAGTTGGAGAAGCGCCCCGTTATGGGGCACTGTCCGTTTGATAGTCTCATGGAGGGCACCCAGAGTATAACGCGCCTTTCATGCAGAACTTGCTCTCCGGATCATCGCCACCCCGACACCTAGAGTGCCGGCACCAGCTGGCAATGGTGGATCTTGGAGGTGCCGGTGCGTTGAAACATGCGGATATTTTGGCACTCTGGGAGGCACAGCCAAAGACACTTATTCGGTTTCTGAGGCTCACAGTTCTTTCCGAAACCGGGAACCCAATCCGTAAAGACCATGCACCAAGTGCCTGACCTGCCAGGACTTCCGCAAAGATAGCCGGGTTTTCGTCGCGCTGCAGGGGGTCGGCGCAACGAGTCTTGGTGGCGATAGACAAACGTGCGTTTGCCGTATACGTGTCTGTATACATACCTTTATACATATGTGTACATACACATGTGCCCTACATGTGTGTGTGTATGTATGTGTGTATGTCTGTATGTATGTTTGTATGCACGTACACATGTATATATGTAAGGAAGTAAGCATGAGTGTATGTCTGTATGTAATGTGTAATGTATGGTACGGCATGTATTTCTCTGTGTGTGTGGTTGATGGTGTGTGTGTGTGTGTGTGTTTGTGTTGGTTGGTTTTTTGCCTTTTATGTAGATATGTAAGATGCGTATATGCATTGGTCGTCACTCTTCAGCTTCCTTATCCCTTCATGGTCACACGGTCGCGTACTTATCGTGCTCCCGTGATTTCTTGCCCGTGCGCATGCATTCCTGCATACATGTATGAAGTACGAGCCCTCGTCTCTTTTTGGATTTTTCTGTTTGTGGATGCCATGCAAGGTGCGGCAAATATGATTTGTGCTTCTGTACATTGTACACAACCTTCAACCTGAAGCCTCTCAGCTCACGTTCCGAAACCGTGGGTGCAACTTCTGCTACAACCATAAGACCTTCAACCCTACCTAGGGTATAACACAAAGCTACGTTCGTTTCAAAGGGTTCATGCCTTAGGGTTTAAGCTTTGTACCCCAAACCCTATGCATACCCTTATATTCTAGTAGCCCTTTAAAAAGCATCCCTTAAAGGAGCCCTACAGTATAGGCACCCTTACAGGATCCCCAGCCGGGGGTCGGAGCCTTTGCAAGGAAAGCGAGAATCAAGGAGGTCCAGCCGCGAGGTGCGGGCCTTTGATGATGGGTTTAGGTTAATTATCCCTAGGCTCCATAGTAGTTCCTTTTTGGGATTACCTTATAGGATCCTAAATACGCACCACAACAAGGAACTACTATGCAGCTCGCGGGCAGGTTAGTTCCTAGAAACGCCAGAAAGCCCCGCCCTAAGCCCTAATTCAACCCGAAACCCTACCAAGCCCGAAACCCAAAGACCTGAACCCCAAACAACCCCAAGGGCTCCAGTTACCTAAGTAGTAGGTTACTAACCATATACTATGTACCCCAGTGACCTACTATTTAGGTCACTGGAGCCCTAGGGAACCCTAAACCATAAACCCTGGGAAGCCCGATGCCTAGTGCCCTCAAGTCTAGACAGGCTTAGGGTTCAGTGTGAACGTCAGATCGAAGGACCGACATTTTAGGGTGGTTGGGTTACTGTCTGGTGCTTAGTAGGGAAGGGCGGAATGGATCCCTATAGTAGTACCTATAGAATCCTATACTGTGGACCAGATATTTGTAGGGTGGTTGGGTTTGGGGTAACTGTGCCCTGATATCCCGTACTTCAACGGATGAGGAGACTTAGGTAAGTAAGGTTTCTCAGGGCTTCCTGGGGATTGTATAAGTTTCTGCGGCCTACTTAGCACCACTTGCGTAGGCACAGAAATGGTGATAGCTCAGATATAACTACAGCAGCTACGCCTTACAACCCTGATTAAGCAAGGTACTTACGACTTAAGCCCATACTCGTACTACGTCTCATGGTCCTTGAAGTGATTGGGGTCATGGACGCAGGAAAGCATGCTGCGTTTGGTCAGGCTCTTCGGTATTGAAAGGTGTCATGCTTGTCTAGATTTGGCTCCGCAGCCGCTACTTTTGTTTGGACATCCTAGTGGTTTATGACCCACGGGCCACGGCAGGTTTCGGCCTAAGCACCTGCAGCATTAAATCTTGAGTCCTAGGAGTTTGAAAAAAGCCAAAGCTCACATGCCTAAAACCTTCTCCCTGAAGAAACCCACAGCTAGGAGCCTGAAAGGAACATCAAAACCTCTACACCCTAAGCTCCCCTAAATAGCCCTAAACCACGAGACTTCAAAACCAAAAGCACTACACCCTATAAGCCGTATCACCCTTAACCCTGAACCCCCCCCAAAGCCTACGCTGAAGGCGTCTACGTTGTCAAGTACCGGACATATTTTGGTGGTCCCTTGCTGGAAACCATGGTGCACGCCAAGGACTCATGGAGGGCTGACGATGTAGGACTTAACCTATAGTCTCCATTGTAGTTCCTTTTCGGGGTTGCCTTTTGGGATCCTTAATATGAAACTGGTCAAACCACAAAAAGGAACTACGATGTAGGACTTAAGGTTTGGGGTTTCAGGCTTCGGGTTTAGGACTTGGGGGGGGTATAGTGGTTGGGACTTCCGGATTATGGTGCTAATAGGGTTTAGGGTTTAGGGTGGCTTAGGACTTAGGGCAGAGCTTGAAACTCAGGTTTCTTTGTGGATCTACCGGAACTGCGCACCCTAAACCATATGTGTTGGCTTCATGCGGAGCCGGTAGCTGCTGCAACATTATAGCTTGCAGATCAGGGTGCAAAGGTTTAGGGTCTACGATCGTTTTCAGCTTTGCCCATTTGGCTTTTCCTTCCTCGACTGTAGCATTGCTCGTCCTATTTTCACCTTCAGGATACCAGTTGCATAGTGGTTTTGGCTGTGCTGCGGGGGTGATAGTGACTGATAGTAGTGCCGTCGTGACATCTCGGCGCAGTTGATGAAGATCACAACCAATGTTGATGTCGCTGACTTGCGGAGGATATGCGATTACAGACCCGCGAGCTCCGCCCCAATCAGACGCCCGTCTGCAGCGGTGCAACGAGACTCTTTGGCCGTGGCTTAGAAAGGTTCGGAGAAGCTACATGGGAGTTTCCGAAAATTAGGGGTACCTTATCTTGGGAGTCCTTATAATAAGGATCCTACTATGAGGGGTACTAGATTAGGGTCCCCTGTTTTCGGAAACCCCCACATGTAAAGGACAGACTGCGGGGATCGTGAACCGGAGTGCACAAAGTGTTCTCCTGAATTTTATCGAGTCGCAACTGGGTTATGGATAAGGCATTCCCAGCTCAAGTTGATATGGGAGTTTCCGAAAATTAGGGGTACCTTTGGGGGTCCTTATAGTAAGGATCCTACTATTTAGGGTAGCATATTAGGGTCCCCATTATGGAAACTCCCATATGGTTTCAATCCGGAGCATGCAATGTCACGAGCATCCGGTCAGCTACAGTGATGAGACGTGCTGGGACGCAAGGCCCTACACCGTTTCCCATCACAGGACTTGTCGGGCGTACTTAAACGCTCCGTCACCTACCCCGGCTTCTCGATTCTACTGGCGAGCATTGCGCGTCACAGTGTTCGGATTTGGGGTCAGAGAAGCTGTGGTAGTTCTGTTTTGGGTAACCAGTCCATACTATATGGGAGCACAGCCATCATAAGAATTGGTTACCTTGGAACTACATCATAGACTATAGGTAAGCCCCAAACCCTACTTGGAGGTTCATGGGTAGTTATAAGTAGGGTACTTTACATATAACCCATATTAGGGGTCTTCTAACTCTACTTATATCTACCCATGAACCTCCAAGTAGAGCAAACCTTCAAGAGCCGACTCCATGTGAGAGGCTGTGTTGGAAAACTTGGCCCCGGAGCCTTCAGGAGTTTAGTTCTCGATTGTGTCCTCAAAGTGATTACGGCTCAAGGGGGTGAGGTCTCGGATTGCTTTGAACGGTTTGGTGTTTAGGGTGGTGTAGGCCGTAGGCCTCACCCGCTTTCCTGCGTCACGTTCCCTAAGCGACACAGTTTTCCCTCGGTGTACAGCATTCTTCGGCGGTTCTTGCTGCATGTAGTTCGTTAGCCGTTAACAGCTCACATATCGGCTTCGAAGGCTGCAGTGGGGACCCTCCCGGAAGATGCCACTTCGTGACATGTTCTTGAGATGTACCTGATACACGTCTATTTATTTATATAAGCGCGTATGCATTGACTAACTATGAATATGTATATACGTGTGTATATATGTATAAGCTGCGGCCGGACGGAGTCTAAGCCCGAAAAGGGTGAAACAAAGTGTGTATATAAGTATATATGCACTCACCCGCGCATGCACTTTGGCCTTAACTAACTAACCTACCTGAAGCCCTTCCGAGCAGTGACTCAGGAAATGCACCGGTAGGATCCAAGAGATGGACGATCAGCTTGCCATTATCGACATGGGTACGGAAGCCTATGGCAAGCTGAGCTTGAGGGAGGCCCTATTCAGGGTTTAGGATGGGCGGCTTAGGGTGTTTAGGGTCTGTGGTTTAAAAGTTTAGGGTTTACAGATTGAGGTTTGGGACTTCAGCGACTCGGGATCTTGGGTTCGATGCTAGAGCATTCTGGGTTGCTGGGACGAGTATAGCTATACGGAATGCTGGAATCATGTGATGTGCCTGTGTGCATGTCGAACTTTGACGTAAGGTCTATTGAAAGCTCAAGCTGGACAACCTTCACCGACATAACACCCCAGACCTCAAACCTTAAAGCATATAACACCCCCAAACCCCATGCAATCCAAAAAACAGTAAAACCCCCCATAAGCAGCTCTAGCCTTTGCGGGTTTAGGGTTTAGGGCTGGGCGGGTCGGGGGAGTGATGGGTTCAGGTGGAGGGCCAGTGGTCGGGTGGGCTTTGGGTTCCATTTTCCTTTAGGATTGAAAGCATATAAAGTTACATTGAATCATAACTATCAATTAGGGATCCTACTATAGTTGCATATATACAGATTATATTCTTAAGTAAGGGATCATGGCAGGTCTTGGGAGTGCCGCCTGTCTGAATTGTTGCAGTATCTCCTTCTGGAATGACAAGGGGCCCACCGATGCCCTGAACAGGTCGTGCAAAGACTGGTTCAGCAATTTTGCCGAACAATCCGCGCAGTGCATATCTCTATGTACGTTTGTCAGGATATGCATATATATATATATATATATATATGTAGATAGTAGTATATATATATATATATGTAGATAGTAGTAGTACTGCGCACTGAAGCCCTGAACACTAAACCCCAAGCCATTCATTCTGCCAAGCCATTTGTCCGGTTGAAGAAGGACCGTTAAAGAAAGCGGAGCTAAACCGTGTAAGCCTGCTCTCGGCCTTCCCCAACTCGAAAGGTTCCGGAGGATCTCTATGTTGGGCAGGAAGTTGAGGCTGTTGCGTTGCTTTTCTTGCCCCTCCTGTGATGGGTTTGGGCTCGTTAGGACTGTTAGGAAGAACAGGATGTGTTTCAAGATCATGAGATTGTGAGTTGCTTGTCACAAGCTTGGAACGAAGCAGTGACGACATGTTGTTGAGCCATGCCTCTTGAAGCACAGAAGAGAGCTTCAGTGCAAAGGATCCATTCTAAAAGGGCTCCTGGGAATTGAGTGGTGCGCATTATTGAATGAGGTTCAACAAGGAAAGTCTATTCAAGCTCCTTCAAGATCCACTGCGGGCTTAAACTCGCTGGTCTGGTTTATCAATGCCAGCGGCGGAGAAGTGGCAGGGATCGGCTAGTTTAATTTTTTTAAACTTCAGGCCGAAAATCGTAAACGATCATTGGACCGGACCCCTTATGGTAGAAACCCTTAGCCTTAAACTGAGTACACACTTAGGGTTGTGGTCTTGTGACGTGTAAAGTTGAGGGTTTAAGGTAACAAGCTTGTTCAGTATGTGCAGGGTTTTGGGGCCCGTACCCTACACTCTGAACGGCTGCACCCTTAGGTTTATCCCAAGCCTAGCACCATCTAGCACCTAAAGCCACGAAGCCCTCGACAAATCATTCGCAGACTTCGGGGAGGATTAGCTGAGGGACCACATGACCCTTAAAAGACGGGGCCCTATACCCATATGCTATGAATCCCTATATGGTATATGAACCTTAAACCCTTTTAGGGTTCATTTCGTTCTTAAGGTATCTACATCCCGGCCATGAGTTGCGCGAAACGAACAAAAGCGTCAAGCCCAGGACCGAAAATCTGCAAGGCTTATATCCAAGGGTAAAAGGAGGGACCCCTAGGTATATACCCTGGACATAGCTAGTATATACCCATTATATGTAGGGGTCCCCATTAAGGGTCCCTCCTTTTCCCCTTTGATTATAGTAAACCCCAAAAAGTTGGAAACGGGATTAAGGCCAAATAGTGGTGGGATTCCCTATACATTAGTCTTAAGGATTTAAGCTAATGGGTTTCCAACTTGTTGGCTTCTACTGTAGTGTGAATCACAGCTGCAAATCCCGAAATCATGGAAGCTTGGAACAACCGACAGCCGAGTCACCTCTACAGTGAGCAGCCGTCAGCAACTCCTCTTGTTACAATGCCCTATTCTTCCAAGGACTTTAAGGACCTGATACTAAGGTCCTGGAAGCATAAAGAGGGCTATGTAAAGACGTCAAAACCACCGAATCATCGGCCTGGGTGTTGGGGGGTGCGCCTGGGAGGTGAGGATTGTGCGAATCCACCAAATGGACCAAAGCATTCAGGCCGGGAGCAAAGTTATGTATGTTGAGGCTTGCTTGAGTGAAGTTGAAGCAGTATATGGGTCCAGAATCTAGTTACTTGATTTTTGGAGTGTTCCTAGTCAAGTACTATGGACAAGTCATATATTGTTGCCCTCTTAGAAACAGTTTTCTTGTTCTATTGCAAAATTTCGACTATATCCCAGAGGGCCCAGGTACCCAACTAGGAGGGTTTCAGGTCCCAAAATCCATACAGTACTCTGAATGGTTTTTTGACCTTGAAACCCTACTATTTGGGTACTTGGACCCTTGGGGTAATGAAGCTCCAAGGGCTTGTCGAAGATAGTTGTTTGTTTACTCGGCTTTACTACGTGCACTTACGTCCGGGGTATGCGGCAAGCCCTTCCCAAACCCGAAACCCTAAACCCCTAAACCCTAAACCGATGAGCCCGAACCCCGTGGTCGCCTTTGTGAGATCTCTGTGCGCATCGTAGCAGAAGCGCACCTTAGGGTTTAGGGTGTGGCGTTTCGGGTTCAGGGTTGGTCAGGTTGTTTGGGGTTGCGGCTTAAGCCCTAAGCCCTAAACCTAACCTCTAAACCGTTATAAGAATGATAAGCCAAGATTGGGGTTTCGGGCTTGTTAGATCCCAGGTTTTGCTGTTGGATTGGGATCGTCTGCGCGGGAGCCGAGCCAGCCCGAAGCAAGAACTAGAGCCAACCCTGGACCCAGAACCCCTAAACCCCTACACCCAAGAAGAGCAGGTAGCCCTAAACCCTAAATCCAAAGCTTCATCATGCCGACGTCCTGACCCTGAAGCCGCGGAAGCCCTGATAAAACCCTGGCCCCATAAATGGCCCGTACCCATAAGCTCCAAAGTAAGCCCTGTTTGGCATTACCTTATAGGATCCTAAATATGAACCACAAAAAGGAACTACTATGGAGCCTATGAGAAAACGCCAATCCGCAACTTTGAGTTCCATATACCGTGGTTACCGTTGATGAACTCCCTTAGTATTCAACCCTCAGGCAATGCAAAACGATAAACTTGCGCCAAAGCACCAAAGCACTGAAGCCCTAAACCCTAAGCCCTGGCTTCTTTCCCAGGTCGCTTGGGCTGGAGAGCGGCGGCGGCCTGCAAGGGGTCAGGCCTTGTAAGGGTTTGGGCTGAGAATGTTTGTTCGGAAAGGCCACATATACGAAGCCCTAACGCCCAACTACCCAGATAATCTGGTTTCAGGTGCGAGCTACACCCTAAACCCTATGCCCACTGCCTCTTGCTTACCCGCGTTCCCTGGATTCTGCACGCAGGGGGGTGCAGTTGATCGACGGCCGATCAGGAATCTCGGAGGCAAATCTGGGGAGTGGCGACAGTTGACCCTCAATGCCTACCTGGATCCCGAGAGTATGTAGAATCGGTTTGGGGCCATTGTCCTACCTACTCTTGGGAGTTTAGGTATCCTTCTTTACGCAAGGGCAATAGCGCGCTAATGCATGTAGTTTGGCTTCTATGCTCAATGCGCAGGAAATTGAGGGCCAAGGGCAGGCAACCGAAAGCTTTGTGTGAGGCACCGGCATCTTAAATTCACTGCTGAGGTGTAAACTCTGCACCCTAGATCCACAGGCTCCGGTTTTCAGTCACAGGTAAGGGGGTTTAGGGTTTATGGTTTCTTAGACCTTAGAGCTCAGATGACATACCAACACATCAAAAAGTGCAAGGAACCCAGGGCTTCTGCAGCAGCTCGGGGTCTTGGCTCATGTGTAAAATAGGGGCGAAAAAATAATCACTAAAAGATCTTAGGGGGCTCCTTAGGAAAACTATAGTATAGTGGGGCTTAGATTATCACTATAGGATTTTGGGAGTTCCTTATTATAACTATAGTATAGTATACACCAAAACCCTATTCTAATTATTAGGGTCTCTATACAGTGTCTTGTATCTTCGGGTCATGGCTGTGGCTCAGATTCTTGAACCCTCCCTGAGACCCGGGTTGCCTGTGTAGCATATTGCTGGGTTGACACGCTAACATAGGTAACCGGGCTCAAGGCTTAAGGCACCTCTCAGAAATATTTATTTCGAGACTAAAGGCTGGAATTTGGAATTGGAGTCTCGCGCGAGTCTCACAGGCCTACACAAGCGTTCAGAATCGGTGTTTGAAGTGTTGCACGGTTTTCGGGGTTCGTTGTGTTTGAGGGCGGGTGTCCGAGCACATGTAGTCCCCTCTAGTTAGCCCAAAATTTGCCTAGGCCCGAAACCCTAAACTTCAGCTTCTCGGATCCTGGGGAGACGAAAAAACGGAACTTAAAAAATAACAACACAACTTCAGAGGCTTAGATTTCACCTGAGGATGAAGATGAGATTCAATGCCTTCGCAGACATTCCGACCACACAGTGGCTGCAGGGGAAGGCTGGGTTAGGGATTCTGGGTCTTGGCGGGCTTATGATTAGGGTTTCCAGGGTCAATATGGGGGCCTGGATAATTATCAAGATTATTCTGTAGACTGTACCCCCCAAACCCTATTCTCATCATTACAGTAGAAGCCAGAAAGTTGGAATATCATTATCGTAACCACTTTAAGGTAAATTATAGGGGATCCTACCATTAATCCATATTCCAACTTTCTGGGGTTCCCTTTAAGGCCTCTGCCCCCCCCCCCCAATTGAGAGTTTCCGAAAATAGGGGACCCTAATATAGGACCCTAAATAGTAGGATCCTTGTTATAAGGACCCTTAAACGAGGTACCCCCTTATTTTCGGAAACTCTAAACCCCTATAGAGCCCTTTAAAGGAACCCTTATAGTACCCTTATAGTAACCCCTTAAAGGAACCCTAAGGTACCCCCTTATTTTCGGAAACTCCCACATTTATGGAGTTTACAAGGCTGGCGAGGCGCCTCTCGGGTTTTCGGGGTGGGGGGACGTCGCAAAAGCTTTAAGACCTACGGGGTTTAGGGCTCAGGGTTTAGGGTTTAGATTTAGGGGTTCAGGGTTACCATATAGGGATTCATAGTATATGGGTATAGGGTAACCAATGTATGTACCTTTCAAGAAGGGATATGACCCCAAACAAACATGGAATGTAGCTTTTGTTAGGTGCCTTGGTTACTTAGGTACCTGTGAAGTCTTTCAGAGCTCGCGAGTTCTGGGTTTAGCGGGTCTCCGGGTCTCACGTCTCGAGCTTAAATTCTGCAGGTGGTGTGTTCTGGGGATAGGGTTGTACTATATGGGTGGTTGTCAAAACTAGGGTCCCTTTTTGGGTACTTAATAGAATACTGCACCTATATAGTCTTTAGGGTACCCAAACAGGGACCATAAGTTTGACAACTACCCATATAGGCGGTAAAGGGCAAACTTGCGAAAGCCCAACAGTCGCCAAGGCCGAACCGAAGCTGCGACAGTCTGGTTAGGGGGTTGAGCATGGTTTCGCAGTCCCTCCCCAAAGGCTCCATGTACCCTTGTAGGAGAGACTTAGGCCTTAAAGTACCTATATAGGGACCCCTCTAAGGCTCAAGTATCTACAATAAAGGTACATGTAGCCTTTGGGCATAGGCCCCATGGTAGTTCCTTTTTGGGATTATCTTATAGGATTCTACATATGAACCCCCAAAAAGGAACTAATAAGGTACATGGAGCCTTTGTGCTCAGGTGGTATCTTTGATGGAGTACGGAGCGATGGTGCGTGTCTGGCTGGATGAAGAGAAGTTTGCAGACGGCGCCTTGCCTTGATATTTGGGAGGTCCCGAAAATAGGGGGTACCTTATTGTGGGGTCCTTATAATAAGGACCCTACAAGTAAGGATGCTATATTAGAGTCCCCTATTTTCGGAAACTCCCATCTGTGTGCTGACCCGAGAGCTCTGGACCACAATACTCCTGCCGTGCGTGCTGGTCAGGGGCCAACATGATTCACACGTGGGGTGCCCACAACGATGATGCAAAAGAGGCAGGTAACACCTAAGAGTTGACCCAGTTTGTTTTGCGGTGTTTGGTTTGTATATTCACGTGGTTTTTCTCAGGCTTTCGGGAGCTAAGTATTGGGATATGTAAGGGGTGATGAAGGAATGTGCACCAGGACTGCACTTCCGTACAGGGAGATTCTGAGCAAGAAGGGAACCTACGGCATTCTGGATCTATTACGGGGACAACAACGACCGCGCAGGTATGCATAAATACATATATATATATATACATTACATGTATATATACATATACATACACATACACAAACACACACATGCACACATAACAAACATGCATACATACAAAGAAACAGACAGGCAGCCAGACTGCCGGACCGACAGACAGGCAGGGAGACGGGCAGGCAGACAGGCAGACAGACAGACAGACACACATTCATACATACACGCAACATACCTACATATACATATGTTGACAAACACACGAATACAGACACGTCACATATCTGCATACCTACATACATACGTACACATACATACAGACGTACATCACATACAAAGAGACATACAGACCTTCAGTAATACATATATACAAAAACATATACATATGCAGGCCGCCCATCAGTTGACACGGCAAGTCGGCGCAAAATGTCCGCTATCACCAGACCAGCCCAATACTACGATGTATGATTATATGTACACACATATATGTATATATGTATATATGTATATACATATATATATATATATATATACATACATATATATATATATATATATATATATATATCACGTCTTTCACGTCTTTCGGGCGTTGGCTCCATGAGGTCGCAGCCCTGTTGGCATCTAATTATGGTGAAACAGTTCTCTGGTCGGAGATTCATCCGCGGATCGTCACTATGTCCCATTCTGAAAGTTCAGAAAGGTCAAGTGCCCGGATTTCAAACAAGGGATAGAGGTGGGCCCTGGCTGATCGGCGGCAGAAGAGCCGAGTAGGCACACCTTGGCCCCAGAGTTTAAGGGCGAAGCGGAAGAGATCTCCGAGAAGGGTCTCGGTCGACAGGGAGGCAAGAAATGCCTGGAAGGTGGACACCAGGGGCCTGGGAGAAGCCCGTCCAAGAATCCAAGCACAGGTCGAAAGAGACATCATCAAAGGGTCCCTCAAAGAAGGAGAGCGAGGACCCGGAACGGAGGGTTGCCAGGCATTCGTCGAAGGAGAAAATGACGCTGAGTGGCCCCTGTCTTTCCGGCTCCTCGCACCATGTGGCAGGCCCAACACAAACCCGCACAAAGTCAGCAGGTCGGGGGAGAGGGCATGGCATGCGCACGGCACCAACTTCAAGAGCGGCAAGCATGAGGGCCCCGTCGCGGAAGGTATTGCACGGCTCCGGTACAGGATCCGCGCTCGGCACGATCCATTCAGCGAGGTCTGCTGTCTGGATCCACTCCATGATATGGCCCAGCAGCAGTGCAAGCCACCGTGGAAGGCGCCGGTTCTCAGGCAGGGATTCTCCGAACGCCGCTGCAGTGACACGGATGCGCGCGGTGGAGGCGCAGACACAGGCAAATGCAACCCGGGCCTGCTCCCATGCAGCGGAGTCATCCCCCTCAGCAAGATCTGTGCCGACATGTTGGAGACAGTCCAAGATTTCCGCAACCGGGCGGGTTGGCTCATCAACCCACTCCTGGGACAAGCGCGGGAGTGTGGGTCCCTGTGCTTGGAGAGCTGGAACTTGAAACTGCCCAGCATCAACACCTTTGGTACTGCCCTGTCCTGGCTCAACCGGGGTGTGGTGACCTGCAGCCTGGAGACTGCGACGGCAAGTCGAGTTGTAGGCAAGATGCTTGCAAAGTTTCAAGTTGGTACTGAAGTGCCGGAGGCATTTCTGGCATTGAGTGCCACCAAGAACGCCCCGGCCAACGGTGCACCTTCCGTGTGTCTTGAAGGCATGCACCGACCAAGTTTGCAAGTTGCGGAAGATCTTTCGGCAGGGCCCGCAACACTGCCGATGATGCTCCTCAACTGGGGAGGAGGAGATCAGGATGGCTCCTGTTTGCCGCAGTTGTCGAACCAGGAGGCCAGTGTGGAAGACAGCCGCGGAGGCCCATGCCTCTTGCCGTATGGCTCGCTGCTGTGCTTTTCGCAAGAGGCGCTTCCATGTCCCGGGGGCGGACTGGATGGTGGAGCGAATCTGTTGCCACCACTCCCGTAAAAGCTCTGACGGCGCATTCGGCTCAAGGAGTCCGTGCAACCATTGGAGAGAGTCCTTGACAGCCCCCAGCCACGTCCCCTCTGCATGAAGCAAGGCCCAAAAGTCAGGAATGCTGTCAACCACACACGAAGCAAGATGCCGCAGTCGAGCAAGGTGTAGCAGGGTAGGAATGGTGGGCAACCCGGCCAAGGCAAGTACACGGGCCTGCCCAAGATGTCTCGCTTGCAAAACATCGTAGTGAGGCCGAAGCAGATGGCACGCCATCTGGAAGTATGTGGTCGTGAGACTCTGCTCCTCGACAGCAGACAGCCGGCCCCAAGTCCCGACACCGTAAAGGAGGACTGAGAGCACGAGAGAATCGAACAGAAGGGACTTGTCCGCGACTGCAACGAAGCTGGAGGCGAAGACCTTCTTTCTGCGACGATTAAACGCACTCCAAGCAAGAGCTGCTCGGCTCCGAATTTCCCGAAGCAGGGCCCCACTATGATGGATGAGGCCACCGAGGTGTCGGTAGCACGGGACAAGGCGAACCTGCGCAGACGGCCACAGTGCACTGTTCGCCTCAATCTGGGGCACAGCATCGCGGAACAAGGTAGCTCGAAGTTTGCGAGACCCCCGTCCGACCAAAGTCACAATCGCCTCGGTCTTGCCACGGTCTAAGTTGGGCAAAAGGGCTCGGCCTAAACATCCATCAAGCAAGGCCCCAACGGTGCTGCGCAGTTTCGCCGGCATGGCATCGGCGGATTCTGACTGGATGACGAGTGCGGCATCGTCCATCCAGGTGCAGTCAAGAAGTGGCAGGTTCCCAGTGGGGCGCGAAACAGCCGGCCAAGGATTGTCCAACATGTCTGCATGCCAGGGGACCTGAGTGACGCCGACGGCAGTGTCGACGGCCTGTCGGACCTGATGCAAGACTTTGGCGAATACAAAGCTGAATACAATATCAGCCAGATTATCGCCCGGACGGGTGCCGATGCCGGTTTCTGTAATGCGTTCGGTATGTTCGAACCGAAACCACGTACAACTCAAGGCCTCACTGGTAACGGCAGCCTGCCATGGAGAGGCTCCAGCCTGCTCAAACAAGGATTGCTGCTGCAAATGGCTATGGAGATCGTGCATCACCTCAGGCTGGACAGCCCGAACGATGTTGGCTATGTCGGTGTCAGTACCAGTGAAGCCAACAACCAAAGGCCGCATAATGCGGTAGAAGGCTTCTCGAAGGTCGAGAAAAACGGTAGCCTGTGAGCGCCCGCGGGACGCGGCCCACGATTGGTGTGCCCTGTAGCGGCGTCATATATATATATATATATATATATATATCATATATGTATATGTTCATGCATGCACGCATGTATGTATGATCAGCAATACTGCTTCGCGTGCCAAGTCAGTTCTGGCCTCGTTGCCGGCTTCCAACTCGCGATAACGGCCTGTCAAGTAGAAGTTAGAAGCTGCCCCCCACCCTGTAATAGTGGTTTAGGGTTTCAGGTTTTAGGGTTTAGGGGTTTCAGGTTTTAGGGTTTAGGGGTTTAGGGGTTTAGGGTAATATACTGGCAAAATAGAATATAATAGGGCCTTAATATAATCCTTATAGTCACTATTACAGGGTGGGGGCAGCTTCTAAAGTAGAAGCCTACATTGCCAGTATATTACCCTAAACCCCTAAACCCTAAACCCCTATTCATGTTGATCTCAGGTTGTATGACTTCCTACTATTTCGGTCAATGGCATGTGTTAGATTATTTAAAGTATCCCTACTCCCTAAACCCAAGTCACCCAAACGGTTCAGCATGTTGAGAACCCGGACCCAAAGCAAGTGAGCAGCACAGACACATGCACATGGGAGTTTCCGAAAATTAGGGGTACCATATTTTGGGGTCCTTATAATCAGGGTCCTAGTATTTAGGGTACTATATTGGGATCCCCAATTTTCGGAAACTCCCACATGTCCAAGGCCTCGTCCACAAGACGAGCTTCCGGGACCGACCTGCGTTTTGACTGCCCAAAGCAGTGAAGCACACCTCTTAAGACGCACTCCTCCCAGAGACTCCAATATCCCTTAATTAAGGAATATACCCTAAATCATATAAGGGATCCTACCATAATATAAGGTGTATTCCTTAATTAAGGGATATTGGAGTCTCTGGCCTTAGCCGGTATGTTGTAGTATCCGTTATGGCCCGGGGCGAGCATTACCACCACTACAGACACCACCAGCGCTAGCAACTGCTACTTCCGTTTTTATGCCCCTTTGACTGCGTGAGCCGGGGGGGTCTTTCCCGACCGCAGAAACATGAAATCCATGGAACCAAGCTCTGGAAACCTTCCATAGAGCAGCCGGCCCCGCCAGCATATCAGCCTGAAGGAAAAGTTGCCCCGACGCCCGAAAATCCATGAACAAGAGCTCTCTCAAGAAAAATGGCTCACTAGCACATGAGCCTCATACTACCAGAGCCATCTTTATGGGGTCAGGTTGGGCGTTCAGGATGTATATAGTCTTAATTAAGATATACCAGAATGTGGAGTCGGAGGGTAACGCCAGGTTGAAATATGCGACGCCCTACCACTGGGCTGAAAGTTCCTTTTGTCGTGCCAGCTGAAGCTACCCCTACAAAGAGGGTTCCAGTTACCTAAAAAATGGGCTACTCGGGTTCGTTTTTGTATGGTTAGTCAGTAGCCTACTCAGTAGCCTAATATTTTGGTAGCTGGAGTTCTAGCGTACCTTCAGGCGGATGGTTCCTTTTGCGAAGTGTAGGGTGCAGCTAACACACCCGACCTGCCTGCCTTCACTGGCCGAGCGCCATGATCTGGCACCCAGATCCCTTTGACGCACATGCAACATGAACCCAATTAGAACCCTAAACTCCAACAGCTCTATGATACTTTATGCTCCAAAAGCCTTAATCCTGTGATTTAAGCCGGGATTGCCACACCTCAAGACCCTAAACCCAATCCTAGACCCCTATAAATCCCAATCCCAAACCCCTAAACCGCCAGTGTAACCTCAATCCTAAACTTCCACCAAAGCCAAACAGGACGGGCCGGTAGAGGATGTGGCCAGCGAGCTGGTTTTGGGACAGGTTTGGCCCTCATGGATATGGCGACCTTTAGGGCTCAGGGTATAGGTTAGAAGCTGCCCCCACCCTGTAATAGTGATATAACAGGAATAGAATAGGGCCCTAATATAATCCTATATAATCCTTATAGTCACTATTACAGGGTGGGGGCAGCTTCTAAGGTATAGGATTTAGAGTAGGTTTTCGGGTTCAGGGACCGTAGGCTTCAGGGTTTAAGGGGTCCTAGGATTGAGAGTTGGTTAAATTGATTTGCTTCAGATTTTCGAACCCTAAGCCCGAAGCCTCAACCCAGGTTACAAGCAATTTCGATTTTGGGCATTGATACTGGCCATGCGAGAGCGGAAAAAGCCATACGATCTCCCAATTGAAAAATACCCTATACCTACAGTCTCCATTGCACATAGTTCCTTGTTTTGTTTAGCCAGCATCATACTTAGGAGCCTTTAAGATAACAGGAACTACAATAAAGACTATCTCCATGGTAGTTCCCTGTTTTGGCGTAGCCAGTCCATACATAGGAGCCTTTAATATAACATGAACTACTACAATAAAGACTATAGGTAGGCAGCGCATGTACTGCGAGGACCCTACAGCCTGTAGGCAAGGGCTCATCAGCCTCGTTTCCGCTGGCTCGGTTTTGCTTCAAACAACCTCTTATATGGCTGTTATCTTCTTCTCATGGTGAACAGTTAGTATTGTCATGAGCATCATTCTTGTGAACTGTGCAGTTATTACTATTGTCAGCATTACTTTGTTTATTGGTACTGGGCTTGAACGATGAATGAAGATTGATGCTCAGATCCGGCATCCAGCAACATCGGGTGGCGTTAAACCCAGGGACCCAGCTATGCACAGCCCAACCCCCGGAGCCCCCGCAAACTTTAGCTGTTGTCGAACTCCCTAAGTCAAGGGTCCATGTACCCGTATAGTATATACATAGGCCCCAATGTATATTGGGACTACTTTAAGGCCAAAGTATATACTGTTTGGGTACATGGACCCTTAGGGACTTGCCCCTGTTGATTGGAACTTGTCCAGTGAGAGAAACGTCATCCCTAAACCCTCAACCGAGCGTAGGGACACGTTGCTTCCATATTTGAGCTCGAGCCGTAAACCAGAAACACGAATCCGCAGTGGTCCGAACAGTTCGTTATACCTACATGTTACTTATTCAGGATGAAATGCACCCTCATGAAACCTCACGATTCCGGAGCCACTCCAAGGCAGTGCGGGTTCGGGTGAAGAGGTTAGATCTGGTGAAGCAGCAGCTAGAGTGTCCTGGCATGAAAACCTCAGATGGGTTTAGGGTATGGCTTCTGGGAGAACTTCAACTTTTTGGCTTCATACATTTGGTCTATCTTAAAAGGTTTGAGCTTTCTTGAAACAAGTTACTGAAGAAGGGAGAAAAACAGTCAGGGGTGAAGGCTTTCAGGCTTTTTGCTTGGCGGTCGGGATTGAGAGGGTTTGGGTTTAAGGTTCCGACTGCCAGCCTCAGTCAAGGTGATTGGCCCAAAGGCTCCATGTACCTTGATAGTAGAAACTTAAGCGTTAAAGGGGTCCCTATACAGGTACTTGAAGGCCTAAGCATCTACAATATGGGTACATGGAGCCTTTGGGTGTTGTCTGCAGACTGTCTAGACGAGAGCCTAGAAGTAAGTCGGTTCCGGGCTTAGGGTGACAGGGTTTCAGATGGTTTCAGAAAGTAGATATCTGCTTCCTCTTCATGGGTCTTCTGGTGCTCCATACAGGGCCCTGAGTTGGGTGCAATTAATACTATGCTATGCCCTAGGGTTCTCTAATATCGTTGGCTTTCGGTGTGCCGCCGTCCACCAGCATTCGGCAACGCCCATGTCGAACTGTTTGTCCAGATTCATGGCATACAACGCGAAGGCCGGTATGGAGGTGGTCGTGGTGGACATTTGTTAGTGTGTGTTAGCGTGGTTCCAGTCTGTACCTCAGAGCCCAAGGTTGAAAGGCGAATGTGTTCTTGCTGCTTGTTCTTGTTGTCTACGTTCTTCGTTTTACCATTGTTGGCCTCAAGACCTAGACAGTATGTTTTACGATCAGCTTTGCTGAACTGTGATGGTTACCGATGGTTTCTCTTTGCGTTTTGTTGCGACCACTTGCACTTCAGCTGAGGTTCACCATGTACAACTATGTGCCCACCACCAAGTCTGCGCTCAATGTCTTTGCCGCAATGCCACAGGACTGACCGTGGACATACCGTCTCCTGAAGCTTTGCAGATCCCCTAAACCCCAAACCCCAAGCCCCAAACCCGAGAACAACCCGAAGACGTGAGCCGATTAGCTGCAGACTCCACCCAGCGCGGGATTGAAGGGATTGGGGTGTAGGGGATGTATTCCAGCCTCCTTTCGGGTTGTTTCGTGTGCATAGTCGGGCTGTGCAGCTTTACAGAGTAAAGTGTGCTCGTAGCACTGTGTCGCAACAGCCCGGCAGTCGACAGAGACCCGAATGCAAAGGAGAGGTTGTACAGTATGGGGTTGAACCCCTCAACCCCAAGTCCCAAAACCCAGAACAGGCTATCGCGTTTCCTTATAGTTCCTACATAGTTACAGTTATACTACAACATCCCCAAAACCGTAGTCTAACTGTTCAGGCCTCTGTGGTAGACGGTCTCGGCGTTCGGGGGGGTGGGGGGGGCTGTCCCTCAAGGATCGCTGGCTGAAAGGAAAGGTCCGAGTCTGAGCGGCTAAAGCAATCTGATTCCAGATTGAGGACTTCAGGGTTTGGGATTTGGGGTTCTTGACAAATCCTAGAGGGTTCATATATATACTACCATTATGGAATTAGGCCCCCAAAGCCATAATAAGGATGGTCGTCTTTTGGGACCTAATTCCATGATGGTAGTATATATGGACCCTCTGGGAAGTGAACGCTTAGCATCTAGAGGGCTGTTTGTGGCGAAGGGAAACACCGCAGCACCTGCGAGTCCAGGTATCTGTTCTTTCCGGGTTTTATTTTGAATCTTACCGGCTGACATACGTGTAGTAGGTCACCCACTACCGGGCTATGGACACTACAAGGTTAATCAGTGTACTTATGGGATTCAAGGACCTGTGCCCCACTGCATTATGGCTGGCTCCTAGCGAAAGCAATAGCAAAGGCGGAGGCAAAAGAAATAGCTGGAACAAGATCAGGATCAAGAGCAACAGCAAGAGCAAGATCCCCGACAGTGACAGTAGAGCCCCCCTACTGTTGATGGACAAAATCCTGCATTACCCAGTATAAGGACTATACCATAGTTCCCATAGTTTAGAGTCCTTAGGGTCATGCAGGATTTTGTCCATCAGCAGTAGTATCAAAGCACGTTTTGGAGATTTACAGTTCAATACTAAGCGGAAGGGATTAACATACGCCCCGCCCCACCCCCTACTCCCCGCCCTTCCCCGCCCTCCAAATGCCCAACCCCTAAACCCCCCAAAAGTAAACCCCAAAGAAGTTGGAAACCGGATTAAGGACAATTAGTGCTGGGATTCCCTATACATTACTCTTAGGGATAGAGGCTTTTGGGCTTCCAACTTTTGGCTTTCACTGTGAACCCTAAACCCTAAACCCCAATCCCTAAACCCTCAACTCGAGCGAATAATTTGCTGTGACAACCACAGCTTGTTCAGCAGTTCAACCAAGACTCCCTGCAATGCGGGCCTCGTCCTTGCTAGGTAGGAGGGAAAAAAACCCTAAACCCTGAATGCCAATCCCCAAACCCTAAACCCCAATCCCTAAACCCTAATAAACCGTAAACACTGCAGGTGCGGAAGCTCATGCCCTTCGGTCTCTTTGTCACCGTGCAGGCAGATGGTGCGCAGGCAGATGGTCTGGTCACTTGCCTCTTCGAGTTTTGGACGGTTTAGGGTTTAGGGTTTGCTGGCACACAGTCCAAGCCTATGCTGAGAAGGGTTTAAGTTCTAGGGTGTAGGGCTTAAGTTAAGCGGCTTAAACTTAGGGTTTACAGGGCTCGCAGGGTTTATGGGGCTTAGGGTTTAGGGCCTTGAGCCCTAAACTTCTGCCTTCACCCCGTCGAACCTACAACATCCCGACAGAATCGGAACCTCGTTCCTCAGCAACTTATAGTAACCAGGATGGTGCTACTTAAGTAATGTTGGAACCTGATTCAGAAACCTTGGGCCTTTATTTGGGTTCCTTATATGAATCCAAACTATTTGGGGGTTATGGGCCCAAGGTTTCTTAACCGGTTCCTACCAGAGGGGGCTCTTGCTGTAACCGGGCTGCTGGACAACGAGGCCTGCTGCAAAAAAGCTGCTAGGTTGTCTGGAACCCTAAACAAAACGTGACGTGACACGTTTGGAGGTCAGGTGTTCCACTACGTGGAAGAGTCCTTCAATACACAATGTCTAAAACATGTCTTCCAAATACTCAGCTACATTGCTAGCATCCTAAGACCAACTACCTAGTCATTAGGTACTTTGTACCCTTTGGACTCTTAGCCGCAGGCTTGAGATGCAGCCACTGTTCCATCCCAGGTGCATGTGAGAAATGCGAAGGAGGGGTTCCTGCCGAAGTTGGAAGATGAGTGGCTGGGACCAAGTTAAGTCTTACTTTTGGTTGGTAGGGAATGGAGGAATGGGGTACAGTTGTAACTACTATTACTGCCATTCTTCCATTCCCTACTAACCAAAGGTAAGAAGTTGCGAGAGAGAAAGCAGTATATAGTCGCCTGAATCGTTTAGGGATAAATGTTATGTGCAGAAGCATGAAGGGACTCCTAGGGGATGGTGCTACTGCCTACTCCGACCCCCAATATTTCGCCGACGGGTTTAAAGCTTAGGGCTTGTCCGGCTTGTCTGTTGTCAAAATGATGGCCCCTTTTTGGGTACCCTAAATATTAGGTGCCGTATTATAACAAGGACCCACAAAGGGATCATAATTTTGACAACCACCCATATTATGTGGGAGTTTCCGAAAATAGGGGACCCTAATATAGCACCCTAAATAGTAGGATCCTTATTATAACCAGCTCGGGTCTGGCTGGTGGGTTCTTGATTTCGGAGTCTCCGAAAATTAGGGGTACCTTATTTTGGGGTCCTTATAATGAGGATCCTACTATTTAGGGTACTATATAAGGGTCCCCTATTTTCGGATTTCGGTTTAGGGTTGAAGTTCAGGGTATTCCAGGAGCAGTTTTGGCCAAAGTTCCCTGAAACATCGATAGGCAGGACGGGATGACGCGATTGGTCTTGTACGAGTTGTTACAAGGCAGTGATTTTTGGATTTTGGGCATTAGGGTTAGCGCTTAAGTGGCTTTGGGCTTCCAGGATTGTTTGGTCTTCGCCCTACACTCTAGATCCTGTTTGTCTCAGAAATCTGCGGAGGCTTGCAGGTGCTTGGCTGCTTCGCCAATGCTTCGTAGGGCAGGGGCTCAGGGCCTAAAGGGAACTCCAGAAAGTTGGAATATGGTTTCAGGGTGGGATACCCTATAACTTAGCATAAAGCGTTTAGGAAAATCATATTCCAACTTCCTGGCTTTTTACTATGTAGGGTATATAAGAAGCAAGTGATTCCTGAAAGGCCATCATCTGCGGATACCTCTGACAAGCACTGTCCCCGTTGCAAGATGTGTCAAGGAACGGGGGGGAGGATGCATCGAAGTCCTTGCCCGAAACCGCCACCCTTACGCCCGAACCCCAAGCTCGAGACTCCATAACCCCAAGCTCGAGACTCCATTCTGCAAGCCCTATAAAGCCTAAAACCCGAAAGCCATAAACCCTAAAGCCCCAAACTCAAATTCAGCTCACGCCGCACTCCCCAAACCATGGACTTGAAGACTGAGAGACGCAACCTCAAGTTACGGCACAGTTTAATGTTTAGGGTTTCGGGTTTAGAGTGCGGCCTCAAGGAGCTAGCTTCGCGTATGGCCTTACCTTTAGCCCCAAGAGTAGGTAAAACAATGGCCCAAAACTTATAACGGGCTATCATTCTACATACTTCCGGGGTCCAGGTAAGAGCTTCTGTTGCTGCCCTATCAGGATGCAATCCGATTGTATGCTGTAGTAGCATAACCCTAAACCCTTAACCCTTAAACCCTTAATCCTTAAACCCCAAACCCTAAGCCCTATCATTGTCCTGGGAGGCTTCTGGAAGTAGCCGCAGCAGGGCATGGTTCGACGGCTAATTGATACAGGCTCCTTTGAGTAAGGTACTATAGGGTTCTATAATAGGGTTCCTTAAAGGGATCTATAGGGGTTCTATAATGGGAACTGCTGATGGACAAAATCCTGCATTACCCATTTTCAGCAATATACCATAGTTCCCATAGTTTAGAGTCCTTAGGGTCATGCAGGATTTTGTCCATCAGCAGTAGTAGATGGGTTGACCATCCCCGAACTGGGAGTTTCCCAAGATATACGGGACCCAAATATATATATATATATATATATATATATATATATATATATATATAGTACCCTAAATTGTAGGATCCTTCTTATCAGGACCCCAAAATAAGGTACCCCTAATTTTCTTCAACTCCCACATGGTCATCAGCACTGTTTTGCTTACTACCCCCCCTATAGACTCCTGGAGATCGGGCTTTGAACCAGGCAGTCACCGGGATTTTGTCTGTAGTTGGAGCTTTCCTCAATCTCACCGTGGCACCATGACTTTCAAATCCAGGGGTTTAGGGTTTAGCAACCGGGCTGCTGGACAACGAGGCCTGCTGCAAAAAGGGTCTAGCAACCCTCAACAGCAAGAAGCTCATATGATGTGTTTCTGAGGTTCTATGTCGGCCAGGAGGTGGATGTGCGCGTGGAGTACGTCGACCTGCAACAAGAGACCCGGTATCGATTTGGGATGACTTTTAATTCCCCTATTTATTTATTATGGAGCCCTAGTTCTAAGTAAGTGTTGATTTCCCGTACTGTTTAATATAGAGCCTTGAATATACTTTAATTTTGGTGACTGTTGACATCGACATCTCTAGCCCTTTTTGAATACAGAGCCCTAATTCTGCATAGTTTTGGGGGCGGTTGACATCGACACCGAGGAGAAGATGGGTCTGACGATGCTCGGGCTGAAGGCGGCGAGTAGCAAACCCGAGGCTCCGTAGAGTTAGTACTTAGGGCTTCTAATAGAATTTAAATAACTTTGATACTATTCTTTAAGAATTCGTAATAAGCATGATATGATATTCAATTAATCTGATCTGACCTTATTGTTATATAATTCTACTTTATATGATGTTGTATTCTATGGTTTCAAGGCTTATAGGGTTTGGGGTTGTAGACTATTGAGCCGATTGTAGAGAACTAGTTACACTTTTGCTTTGTGGCTTCGCATCGCTTCACCCAATTTGGGGTTTAGGGTTTAGGGTTGAGGGTTGCTTGGTCCAACATCGCGATGTGAGGCGAAGCCCCTGCATCCGCAAGTTGCATAGGACAGCAAACAAACCTGAACCCCAAAACCTTCCACTCGGAACCCTAAATCCTAAACTCTTCTTCTGATTTCTTTGTATGGGTCTTTAACAAATTCGGAGCCTAAGAGACATCAGTTTCGAGCCTTCGAGCGAGTGCCGGCCGCCCTCAGAGAAAACAAGCGCAGGGAAGGGCTCGACGGATCTGGGTTCAGGGTTTCGGGGGTCGTGTTTTAGACTGTTATATAGGGGCTTAGAGTGTATACGGTTGTAGAGGGCTAGACTTTAGGATTTAGATATTTAAGGTCGAGGGTTGAGTGGTTTAAGATTTTGGAGTTGAGCGCTTGAATTAGCGCTTAGGGGTCATGCTCTTTTGCGTTTTCGTTGGGGCTTAGGCGTTTAGGGTTTCGGGCTTTGGGGTTAAGGTTTGGGGTCGTATGGTTTCGTAGAGATCCCCGAAGTTTCTATGATAATTACAAATACTATTCTGGGAGCTTCTTCTTATATTCATAGTAGAATGGGCCCCAAAACCCTGTTCTACTTACATATGAAGGCCCCTTTAATGGTAATCAGGTAATCCTTATAGGCCTCTTTAAAAGGAGCCCTAGACACCGTTTTAATCATTTAGGCTAATTTCGTAGGGTTTCCAAGAGATTCCGGAAGTTAGGAATCCTATATTATAGTACCCTTATTCAAGGATCCCTTTATATGTTAGGAATATTTTAGTACCCTTATCCTGCATGGATCCCTTTAATAAGAAAACCTATTCTAATTCTTAAGGCCCCTCTCTTCGGAATCCCTTTGGGCTGAGGGCCCCCTCGAGGTCCCTGGCGCTTGAATCCCGGTGAATCCCAGAAACCCCAATCCCTTAGACAAAAAGCAGGTTTAGGGTTTAGATGGGTTTAGGGTTCAGGGTTTAGGGTTTCGGGTTTAGGGTTCAGGGTTTAGGCTTCAGGGTTCAGGGTTTAGGGTTTCGGGTTTAGGGTTCAGGGTTTAGGTTCAGGGTTCAGTAGGGTTCAGGGTGCAGGATTCAGGGTTGAGGGTTAAGGGTTGAGCCCAACCTTATACACCCCAAACCGTCAATCCGGAACCAATAAATCAGTAATACGACTCTAAACCCCACCTTCCCTGTTCCCACAGCCGACACCCCGAAAATCCGATCCAAGCCTTGGGATTCTCTCTCAAGCGCACCCCAAGGGGATCCGAAGTACTCGTGGCACAAAACCACAAAAACGTCATTGCTAGTTTGAGAAATGTAATCTGTCATGTCTGCAATGTAGGTACGTAGGGGCCCCCTAAATAGTAGGAACCTTCTTCTAAGGACCCCCAAAAAAAGGTGGGGGCGCTACATTCGCAGGGTTTCGGGATTTTGCGGTTCGGCCTCGAGGCTGCGAGTTGCCTCATGCCGCGGAAGCCATGGTACGATCGGGAGCTGGGTTGGGAACATGGGTCCGAAGGACAAATGCAGCCCACCGAGGCCTTCGAGCAGTTGTGGTGGTTGAACTACTGGCTTTGCTGCGGCATCGGCTGTGGCAAAGTCTGTGACCCGCCTTGCGAGCACGCATGCTACACAGCTTGCTGCAAATGCGTCTGTCAGCTCGCATCTCCGGGGAATCCATTGTGCCAGCAAGTCATTGCATGCTGTTGCTGCCGTTCGATCCTCATGGTCCCACCGGAAGACATGCCCCCTTGCGTTTGTTGCAGCAGCTTGGCAACGGAAAGTGAGTACAGTTTCTTTCTATACTAGGTATCGATGTGGTAATTGTTAATTTCTCTGTTACCGAATATAGAGCCTCGACCATAAACATTTTTTGGAGACTGCTGACATCGACATTAAAAGTATATGACCTTACCAAAATCTATGCTCTGCAGTGGCCTGATGCTTCGGAAATGGATGTGCCGACCACGGCCATACCATGCTACACATTCAGTGACCCTCTCCCATGTGGATAAGGTTAGGAATTAGGCCTCCTTCTTGCACTGTTAAATACATAGCACAAGGACTTCCATAACATCCCCTCTTCTAGCCCCTAAACCCCAAACCCCTAAACCCTTTTGGCTCAAGTCTCTGTTACTGCATCGCTGTCGCGAGTAGGGATCCGGCAAGCTTAAGGCAACCTGGGTAGCTTAGCATCCCTTATCTTTGCCCTCTCATGTACTGCGCCACACTCCTGAGTAAGTTCCACCACCTCACGGCTTTCTGCCTAGCCATGGCTAACCGTCAGGGTGCTCGCTCTCGTAGCCCACGACGCCCGCTGGACCTTCCGGATCCGATGGGCGAACCGGATGCCATCCGCTTGAGGGAGCACGGGGTGCCGTTGATCCTGATTCGGCAGACAGGACAGGCCATCTGGGCGTTACGGGAGCAGTGCCCGGAAGATGCGAATTGGAGCTTGGCGGTGCTGCGACAGGTGGTGCGAGACACTAAGGAGAGCCTGGAAGCCTTGGAAACTTTCTTGACCTCACGTATCGGGCTGATTGCCAGAGTCCCTCCTGAGAATGATCGTCGGGAGTTGCTGCAGCTGCTCGGTGATGTGTCGAGATCCATCCCGAAGGCGGCAGTGCAGTGTGCTCAGAGCCGACTGGAGAACACGTGGCTGGAGCCGCACACGCTGCCGCTCGATGCACAGCCCGGAAGGGACAATGCGCGATCCTAACAAGGCTGTGGTAGTGCATGGGTGCTTCGTCGGTAAGTCGGTGCATGTGAATTTGCTCGGATGGGACTTCGCGGGATATCATGAACGACGAGGCCTCCGTGGTTGAATTTGGCACTGCATGACAATTTATGTTGGTCTGGTACAGGGGCGATGCATGGATCTGCCTGTGGGTCTGGGAGCCGCTGAACAGCCACTGCATGGAATTTGGCAGTGCATGACACCTGCATATTTTGAATTTGGCATGAATGCGACATCTGTCCGCATGGTGGTTGCTGGATGCCATATATCTGCATCTGCTGAATTCGGCAGGAATGCGACATCTGTCAGCATGGTGGTTGTTGGATGCAGTACAGCATGAATTTTGGCATGGAGAGGGGTGTGGTTGCTGGTACTACGAGCACAACGAAATATCTACAGGGCAATTTGCTATGGAGCACGCATGCTTTCTTGTGATATGCCCCACGAAGTTGAATTCTGCATGTGCATGACATTCTGTCTCTGGCCTGGAGCTGTGATGTGGCTCGTGTCGGTCGTTTGGGCATTCTGCATGTCTGAGATGTCTGGAGACATGATGTGAGCTGCGAGATGGTTCATGTTGGCCGGTAGTGCATTCTGCATGTCCGAGATGCTTGGGAAGTGATCGAGAGACGTAGTGGCGGTTGTCTTTTGAAATAGTGATAGGCCCACACGTGGCTTGTCGACTCGGCTGTGTCTGCTTGGCTCGAGGGATGCTCTTTTCTGCCATTCAGTAGCTTCTCATATCGGTCTGTTTTATGGTCTATCTTTTTGGTTGGATTTGGGTGATCGAGCCTGTGCGGCGCAAGCCTCTGTAAGTGGAGATACTGTGGACCATGTGGAGCCTTGCCTGCTGCGTGCGAGTGTGAGCGTCGAAACCCCTCTTCCCCAAACCCCTAAACCCTACACCCTAAACCCTAAACCCCTCTTCCCCAAACCCCTAAACCCTTAAGCCGTTCTATAACGCACCATATCCTCATCATCAACCCCCCCTTCAGGCGCTCTTCAGAGAACTTAGGGTTAAGGGTTTAGGGGTTTAGGGCTTTAAGGTTTTAGGGTTTAAGGTTTTAGGGTTTAGGGCTTTAGGGTTTTAGGGTTTAGGGTTTAGGGTTTTAGGGTTTAGGGTTTAGGGTTTTAGGGTTTAGGGTTTGAGGGTTTAGGGTTTAGGGTTTAGGGAAGACTTCAAGAGGCCTGGATGCAACAGGGTTTAGGGTTTGAGGGTTTTAGGGTTTAGGATTTTAGGGTTTATAGGGCTTAGGGATAGTTTATCCTGACCCTCATGAGATCCTAGCGGAGTCTGGACCACTACACAAGGCCGCACCGCTCTAGCCACCAATCGATGTCCAAAGCCACCACTTGGAGTTAGGGCTTAATTTTTGTGGGCGTTGGCTTTACAGTTTGCGATTTCGTTTCAAGCTTTTACAATGTAACTTCGGCGCGGACTAGCGTTTTATAAGAATAGCATCCTCGAGTCAGGCAAGCGACCATGCGGGGGCGAAGCGCGGCTGCGAGACCCACACCAGGGCCTTGATGCCCAGGAGCTTCGATTGGGCTTTTGGCCTTGCTGGTGTGGCTGCTTGGGCATGCACAGCCGCCTCAAAGGCTGCGAACTGTGTGATGAATATTCGACAAATTCAAGGTACGAAGTGAAGCAGCTCTGCTGTCGTGCAAAGTGCCAGTGTCATGACCATGACGAAGGCTTCCACAACTGTTTCGGTATGACGACTTGTTTATGCTGCTGGACGCACTACCATTGGCCACGAATCGAGACAGCACCCTGCTGCGTCTGCTTTAACTTAGGATCATCCGGCACACAGGTTCAGACATTGCAGTAGCCGAAAGCTGCCTTCCGCAATTCGGCACAAAGAAAGTCGCACACTCCAGTCTACACTCGCAAGTATTGGTTTCACACGGATCCCGAACAGAGGGCGGGGTATTGGAATGCTACAGCGGGGTGCAAAGCCACCCCCCCCTCTATCCCCGGCAAAAAGTAGCAGTTCCGAGTTGGTCAGCACCCCAACCTGA